AATCAGTGTACATCATGGGCTGAGAAACAGATAAAGTAACTGGTAAATGGGACAGAGCTGATCATTGTTAGGACATATTCTTTTGAGAGTAATAAAAATATTCTAAAATTTACTGTGATAATAGTTATAAAACTCTGGACATATTAAAAACCATCAGCAGCATAATTTAGTGGATACATTGCACAGTATATGAGTTATATCTCAATCATGCATTTATTAGTAAAAAGAAGAAAAAATTAGCCTAATTCTGCTGGCATTGGCCTGTAATCCTAGCTAGCAGGAGCCTGAGATCTGAGGATTGTTCTTTGTAGTCAGCTTGGGGAGGAAAGTCTGTGAGACTCTTACCTTCAATTAAGCAGCAGAAAGCTAGAAGTTAGAACTGTGGTTCATGTGTAAGAGTGCTAGCCTTGAACACAAATGCTTAGGATCATGCCTAGGCCCTGAGTTCAAGCCCCAGAACTGGCACCAAAAAAAAAAAATCAAGGAAGAAAGAGAAAGGAATATTAAACATTAGAGAATTTAAACATCATAGAGGGGAGAGAGTACCCTACACTCTGAATATGTTACCTCACTTATTTTTCTTTCCAATTCCTAAAGGACATTATCTGTGTGTCTTCTATTGGCAATCATTCAAATGGCAACCTTGGACTCTCTACTCTCCCTGGAGTCTGGGCTTGATGTGAGGTAGCTATCGTACTTCTCTGATCCTCTTCATTAATTTAGGGGATTGTGTGTTTTGTGCTAACCTCATTTGAAGTATTTGTTCTTATGCCATCTTTTGTTTTGTCACATAAACAACTTATTTTTTAATGTAAACTTAAAAATGATGTAACCTGCCTAACCTGTTTACTTAGCTTTTCTTTTAGAGAATTTCAAATTTATGAGCGCCATTAAAAAACGCTTAATCAGATTCAAGATAACCTTGCATTTTAATCACAATGTAGTCTATCCTTAGGTATACCTCCATCTTGTTAAGATTTATTGTTTTGGTACTGTTTCAAATTGTAATGGGAAACTGCTGTTGGCTCTGCTGATAAAGGTTACCAAAACTCAAAGTGTAGGCGATAAGTACTTATTTGCCAGACTTAGCCAAACAGAATTAATATTAAGACAGGGAAGGGCAAAAACACACATCAGGTAATGCTGTTAAAAGTATTGCAAAGAACATATAGTTTTTTGAAGAAAAAGTGGAAAGTAAGAAGAAAAAAACCTGGACTATTAAATCTTGAACCTGACTCTAAGCAAGTGTTTAGCTTGTTCCCAAGAGTAGTTTTCCAACCTTTGTTTACTTCTCTACATTGCCTAAGAGGCCTTCTTAAAGCAAAAATCATGTCTCTCACCTTCTCTGTCTCTTACCCACCATCTCTTCTACAAGTCAAGAAACTTTCTTCTTTCCATCTTTTTTTTTTTGGGGGGGGGGTCTGGTTGTGGGGCCTGAACTCTGGGCCTGGGCACTGCCCCTCAGCTCTTCAGCTCAAGGCTAGCGCTCTACCACTTGAGCCACAGCACCACTTCCGGCTTTTTTCTTTTTGCTTATGTGGTGCTGAGGAATCGACCCCAGGGCCTCAGGCATGCAAGGCAAGCACTCTACCACTGAGCCACCTTCCCAGCCCTCTTTCCAGCTTTTATATCTGTCCAAGCTGCATATGTTTTTCATTAGCATAATCTTAGTAAATATTGCTAGGTCATGGGGACTAATTCAATAGACTAACTTGTTCTTGTTTAAGAGCTAGATCTCCCCAAGAGAACCTGCATTAAAACAAGGGATGCTAATCAGAGCTACTTGGGAGGATGAGAAACAAGAGGACAGTGGTTTGAGGCCAGCCCAGGCAGAAAAGCTCATGAGAGCCGTCTTCTCAACCCATAGCTCAATGCAATGGCATGGGCCTGTCATCCCAAACTACATGGGAGGCTAGGATAGGGAGGGCTTAGGTTCCAGGCCAGCTTAGGCAGAAAAAGTCTGTGAGATTCTGTCTCCACGGAAGGAGGCTGGATGTGAGGACATGTACCTGGGATCCCAGCGATGATGGGAAACCTAACCATTGGGGAGTAAGTGGCTCAGGCCTTTACTCCAGTGGGAAGTAAGACCCTGTCCTAAAAATCACAGTGAAAATCAGGGCTGGAGGCATGGCTCACCCCAGCGTGCTCAAGGCCCTTTTGAGTCCAAACTTCAAGCTGCCAAAGATCAAAGTATCCTAAAATTAAAAACTCCAAACCAAAGAAGAGAATGGATAGCCCTGTAAAGTGGAGAGGCAGGTAATTTTCAGAGGAAGATAATTACTTAAGGAAAGATAACTTTGGTGGTGCAGTGGCAAGTGATTAGAAAATGAATCTTTCCCCACTGTTAAATGATATACTTCTCTGTGGTTATTAATTATGTCTGTCAAGGTACGTATTTTTAAGCCACTTGACCACATTTATATTAATAATTCCTTGGGTTGAGGGTGGTGGCTCAAATAGTACAGTATATGGCTAGTTAGCAGAAGGGGGCCTTGGGTTCTATTCCCAGTACCACAAACAAATAATGATAATAATTTAAGAAACCCGACACAAGCCATTTCTTAAACCAAGTCATGGGAGCTCTGAAAGATGAAACATACTGGCGAAGTGATTTGGACAAAGCTAGTGAGAGGCTTTGATGTAGGTTCATCAGAGGCCATGTTTAGTGTTCATTCCTCCAAAACAAAAGTCAACTTTTTAAATTCAGGAAAAAAGCCCTCCAAGTGTGTTCCTGCAGGTGTGTTGCCTTCCGGTTTGAATTTCACAAGCGCTGTAAAGAGAGTTAAGTTTTGGAGAGGTACTGACAAGGCAGGGTCAGAGGTTCTGGAGTTTGGAGGACAGTGTGATATTTAGCTGAGAAGTAAGCTGTGTTTACATACCTGGAAAACAGACAGATTGCAACTCCTAGGTTTCTGCATCAAGATGGCCATAGGGGGACATGTCAATCATTTGCAGAGTGTTTCAAGTTACACTTCAGGGATTAGAAAGAACATTTCTTCCTTCCATCTTTTAACTTTTCTCTTTTGAGTCTGGAATGTAAATATGGACGTCTCTCCAAATAGGAGAGGGGTACGTTCTTCTTTTGAAAAATTCCACCTGTGGCATGGTAATATTTAAAAATTTTAAAGTTCTCCCACATTTTAAATATGACATGTAAAGAGCAGCGAGTAAACTCTTGCACAGTAATTCCATTAGCTTCCACAATGCCATTACCCTAATCTTCAGGTTTGCCTTTCAGAAATAAAATCCACACTAATTTTTTTTTTAAATCCTGACACTGTTGCTGATTTTCTTACTGTCCAGAGGGAAGAAATTTCTCCATTTTTTTATACCTTTTTTGTTCTGATGGATATTCCCATCTTCATGTTAAGCACAGTTTGATTTGCCACTAATTGTAACCAACTTTTCATTATTTATTATTAGCATTGCTGAAATCCATTGGGAAGTCTAACCGAGATAAGGCTGCTTTCAACCTCTGATAGGACCACAACAATAAAGCAATTAACTACACTAGTTAAAATATACTAAGTCCTAGACAGGGTAAATACCTTTACAACCAACTATTTACAATATTGTATATCATGCTTCATTGATCTTCTACAAGATTCAACATGTTATTTTGTCACACATAGTTTATTATAATCCCCTTTTTAAAAATTACAGTTTCCCCTATTAGCAATTAACTTTAAATTGTGAGGATAAGAGAGAAATAGGCAAGTTAAAATGATGAGCTATATAAATGCTTCATTTTCTTAAAAGGTTGGCTTAAGTAGTTACATGTAAATCCGTCTATGTGTACCCTTATTCCTTGTGTGTACTTGAGTCAGGTTCCCAAATCTCAGCCTCTGCCATGGTTGGACACTAGATAAGAAATAGGAAAGCCATATATCTGTATCCTCCAAACAAATATTTTTCTCACCTCTTTTCACCCATATAAAACAAATGTGAGACTCCAACAATAAACACAGGACTGCAAAAGTCATTAATAACAGCCGTCATTTTAAAGTGCCATCTAATTTAAACACTTTTGCTTTAAGTTATTGCAGTGTCATGAGTTTCAGTATGCTCAATTTATTAGTAAAGACCTGCAGAGTTCACAGCCATTTATTTTTCAGGGAACTTGATTTCATCATTAATTTTTAAATACATCAGACTCCCACTGTATTTTTAGAGTGCACTTTATTTACCAAAATTGGTTTACTCTGATCAATACAGAGGTTTCCAGGTGTTCATTACAGTGAAAAGTCTAGGAAGTTAAAGATAATCCAAAGTATGCTGTAATTTTTCACTTTAATGTGTCATACACACACACATGTGCACACATACACACACACACACACACAAAGAGTATATGTTTATTTGCTGAAGTAAATAATAAACTAAAGAGAATAAATAATAAACAATAAAACACTCTTGGTTTTTAAAAACTAACAGCATTCATTTTTAGCATTTATGCTGAGATTATTCACATTGGAACATAATTTATTTTAATATTTCACCATATTTGCATCCAATCACTTATTCTTAAGGGACACCTTACTTATTTTTCTCCCAAAGAATGACATCTGGGTAGGAAAATCTCCTATCTGAAGTCTGGAGCTAGATCATAGAACACAGTTTTGACCATTACTACTGCCTTACAAATCTGCGCAACAAAATTTTGCCAGTAGTAATGAATCTTTCCTCTGGGTTAGTGTTCATGGTCTGGCCATTAGGCCGTCTCTCCAGAAGGGCTGATGGGTTTAGACAGTTGAGATGAAGCCAGTGGACCCTCATTCAGTATTGGGATTCCCCCCCCCCCCCCCCCCGTAATTACCAACTTGAGCATATGTCATGCGAAGCTAACATTAACACCTGATGCTGACAGTGACAAGGCTTGAATGCTTGAGTGTTTGTTTCAGGGAGATTTTCTGTAAAAAGTAATCGTAATAAGAAGCAACTAAACTGAAGCTAACACTATTCATATACTTACTAGTTGTTCTTTTTCTCCCCCTAATTAGGACAGAATTTTACCCTAAGGCAGTTAGGAGTTTGTGAACCAGCAACTCGAAGAGGACTGGCCTTTTGTGCGGAAATGGGGCTCCCTCACAGAGGTTACTCTATCAGTGCAGGGTCAGATGCTGATACTGAAAATGAAGCAGTGATGTCCCCAGAGCATGCCATGAGACTTTGGGGCAGGGGGGTCAAATCAGGCCGCAGCTCCTGCCTGTCAAGTCGGTCCAACTCAGCCCTCACCCTGACCGACACAGAGCACGAAAACAAGTCCGACAGTGACACTGGTAAGTTTCTTTTTTTTTTCCTTTCCTTTCCTTTTCTTTCTTTCTTTCTTTCTTTTTCTTTTAAATTTACTGTATTGGCATTCAGTGCTTCTATCTATTTTTGTCGACTATGGTTTGTGTTTTCTCTTTTCCTTCCTCCCATCTTTCTTTCTCTTTTTGTTTTCATGCAGTAGAACCCAAGAAATGCCCTTGAATATGTTTTTATCCTCCTGGGATGTGGGGGGGAATGCAGAAATCAATATTTGACATCAGGTGGTTAAATTATGCAAGCAGTCTGTGAAGTGTGAGCTATAGTTTCGAAAAACACTTTAATCATGTACAGACACAAAGAGAGAAAAGATTAGAAAAAGAGAGAAAAGATTTGACTGATCTTGGACTTTGTCACCTGTTAGCCTCGGTGGAGAATCAGACCAAGTGTTGATAAAGTTTACCCCAGAGCCAGCTAGCAATCAAAGATGTCTTTGTAGATTCCTCTTGAAAAATATCTTAAAGAAGTTTCAGAATCTTAGAACGGATGAGTAAGCACACAGAATAGATTATTAACAAGGCTCAAGTGATTGAAGAACAAATTTGATCATGCTTTAAACTTTGCATTGATGAAAGCAGTTGAAAGTTTGGTAAAGAAGACGCGGGGGTGCAGTGTGGCTTTTGATGTTCTTTGGGAACTGGATGACGATGCAATTAAATCCACACACGAAAATTGGATTGAAGGATGGATTGAAGGATAGACAAACAGCAGCTTTGCATATTGTAAGAGCAATGGCACAAGCAATGACTGGTACTTCTGTCCAATTGCCAGTGTGGAAATAAGATTTAAAAAGTTAATTTAGATGCAACAATTAATTCAAAAGGAACCTTAAGTTTTAGTCAGTGTTGTTCCTAGCACAAAAAGGGAACATCAGCACCAACTTTCCAGAAAACAGCCAAAACATTTCTCCTTCCGTTTTTAATATTAACAGAATTTATTACTGTTCCAGCCTGGTTTATTAATGTTGTGTGTATCCAATGCATCACAAAGAAAAAACAATGAAAAATAGAAGACTCGCAGGCCATGTGAAAAGAAAGATGGTGGTTTTCTTAATCATATCCTGTTGTTAGTATTTACTGAACAAGTTTGTCCTCTTTGCTGTGTAATAGGATTGCAGACCTGTGATCAGCTTGCAGTTCCAGCTAAGTCATAGTATGATCTTCCCAGTGCTTATTAGGTGCTCACTATTAGTGCAGAATGAAAGTCTAATTTAAACCATTGGAATATTTTAGTGCATTAAATCCAAGTAAGATCAATTAAAACATACCACTCCATATCTCATTTTGGAAGTGTAGGTTCTTGGTGGAGGCTGGCTTTATCCCAGCCCCCAAGAAGAATTCTTCTGGACAAAATGAAGTTTTAAGTCTGGCTGCCAACATTTCCTCCAGCTAATCCATTCACCCCTGTAAATCCTATGTTTTTAGCAGTTTTCAGAGAAGATTCATTAGTCATTAACCTTACCTACTTACAGTTACTTACATTAACCATACCTAGTTATCATTCCTATCAGTATTCACTTGGATAACACACCTTGAGCAATTGCATGTACATGGGGTTAGTCAAATAATACATTCTATTTTGCTAAAATATACAAAAAGGAAAGAAAGAAAGAAAGGAAGGAAGGAGGAAAGAAGGAAAGGAAGACAGGAAGGAAGAAAGGAAGGAAGGAAGGAAGGAAGGAAGGAAGGAAGGAAGGAAGGAAGGAAGGAAGGAAGGAAGGAAGGAAGGATGTAGCAAGATACTGAACTTGGTTCTGATCACTTACATCCTACTTCATTCATGTAATTATTCATTCATGTAGTTATTTTTCACAGTGGGTCAATTTGCCTTTTCCTCCCAATTTTTTTGTATATTTAATTGTAAAAATAGTATACAGAACGGTTACAGTTACATGAGTAAGGTAATGAGTGCATTTCCTATTGAGCATTGTTACCGCCTCCTTTGATTTTCCCCTACTATCCCTTCTTGTGCTACCTCCCCAACTCTCCTCTCTCCCCCCAAAGTTGTAAAGTTCGTTTTCAACATAGTGTGTTGTACATGTCATTGTTACAATAGGTCAACCTGTATCCTTGTTTCAGGATTTTATTTCCCTTCCCCTCCCCAAATTAGAAAACTGTATATACAACATGCAGGGCATCAAATACAGTGAAAACCGGGGTTATACTGTGGGGGAGGAACATACAAGAGAAAAAAAATCTCATAGTACGTTTTAGATACATTAAAAACAATAGCAAGAAAGAAAAAAACAAGTTGTTTCCCTATCTTGGGGTTCATTTTGCTTAGCATTATCTTATATGGTCATATGTACATAGCTTTTGACTTTTTCTGCTTGTCCTATACTTATACTAGTTATTGCAAATAAGGGAAACCATGGGACCTATGTTTCTTTGGGCCTGGCTTACTTCACTTAATATAATTTTTTTCCAAGTCTTTCCATTTCCTAACAAATGGGCGATGTCGCTCTTTCTGATTCCTCTGAAAATTTTTATAGCATATCTTTTCTCTATCTAATAACAAATATACTTTGCTATCATAACTATATGTTGGTAAGATATAAATTAATCATTTTTGAAATTCTATTAGAACTATCCCATGGTAAATTTCCAATGTGTACCATTTTTTTCTTTTTTTCTTTCTTCTATTCTTCTAGAAAAAATGCAAGACAAGCTTAGTCATCTCTAGTTAGCTGTACATAATATCTAAAGATTGAGAAGAGAGAAGGAAGATATGAGTTTCTCATGCCACTGCCTGTTTCCATTTGCATTATTATTGGATTATTATTAACTAGAGGAGGAATTTCTTTCCCTGCTAATCTCCTAGACCTTGCTTATACAGTGGTGGAAAGTCAAGAGAAGTTGCGCCCTTGCCTTTCTCCCCAGGGTGGAAATGAAGGAGAATGTAGACAGATAAGGAGAGAGAAGGGGGAAGGGAAGAGTATTAATGAGAATATACAGATCAATTAATCATAGAGTATAAAACATCAAAAGCAGTTTGTTGAGCTGGACAGGGCTCATTTGTGCTCTTGTGTTTGCTTTTTTCTCAAGGTTTGTTTTTTAAACAACATTTTAATGGTCTTAAGAATTTCTTCTGGGGTGAGTTTAAGAAAACCAGAGGAAAGAAAACAGTATCCTAATGAGTACTGGCTATTTCATATATTTCTAATATGTATATCCATAGGAACATTTCAGATTAATTTCATTACTATGACATATCAGTGATTATTCACAAAGGTCAAAGGTTCGTTAAAGTAGAATTCAGTAAGGACCTGCAACAATTTATTTATTCCTGGGTTCTCATAAGAACTACAATTTGCAATTATATAAAAGTTCTTCCAGCATCTTTATAAATAATATGTTCAAGTCATACTTTATTTCTATTTCTACATCTAGTCAAATATTTCTGATAACTAAATAATAAAGTTCTATTCTCCTTATGTATTTTAAGTTACTCTAACACTGAAAGAGTGTTAAGTTTCCACTTACATTTTTCTCTGACTCCTCAATATTTTATGGCCTCATTTATTTGTTATTGTCATGAAATGTTTCTTTGGTAGCCTTTTTATGTCAGCGAAGGTTGAAACAGGAAGGATGGGGTAATGTAACTCACCGAAATGAAGGTAATTTAGAACCCAGACACTGATTTATTTTCATTCCAGTTAACTTGGAAGCTTGCACTGACTTTTTTATCATTCAGGAGAACTGTGAATGGGACCGTTTTCCCCTGGAAAAGATGTTATTCAACATTTGTAAAATTATTCAAACAGAACACCTGACGTCCTAGTTACAACTTCAAAGAAGGGTTTAGTCACTATGTGAAATTAGATTTCATTTATTTATTGATAAAGAGGCCAACAGTTCAAATGAAGAAGGTGTTAGAACTGCTGTGTGGCTAATGAAATCTTGATGGCCGGTGCATCCCAGGAGAGTAAAGGAACATTTGGGCCATGCCATGTACACATCTCCATGTTGGCAGACATTCAAAACAAGTGATAACACCCATTATTTTGCAAAACTTAACTTTTTACCAACCATGAGAATTTGAAGTTAAGCAGAATTTTAGAGGGGAAAAATGTACAGTATATTGAGTTTCTGAATTAAGTTTATCCCGCCATGCATCAGGGATGTGTGACATGCATGCATGCATGCATGCATGGTATTGAAAAGTACAAAATAATATGATAGAGTGACATTACCAGTACTTTCTGCATTATTTTAGGCCTCTGATGTATGCTTAAAAGCCCCTTAAAAGACTAAACTCCCACTATCCAGCTTTGCAAATAATCTGATCTGGATTCTGAATATTTATTTAAATGTCAGGAACAAAGGATTCCTTACTTTCACAAAGCATTAATCTTTAAGGCTTAAAAAAAAATGTTTGCATGGGTGTCATTTTCAGAAGCAGCTTGCTCTTTATCATTTAGAAACTGGTATTAGGAAAGATGTCTGTATTTAAAAAAACACAGGGGTCAGTAGTCAAATGAGTGCAGCCTTCCCTTGCTGGCCTGCTACTCTGTAAGTTGAACTTCATTTTACAACTGTGGGGTGTTCGTTCTTATTGGGTAGGTCTCTCACCTTGCTCCTTTGCGCTCCCTTCCTTCCTTCACCTCTCATTGATGACCTTTGATCAGAAAAGATGAGCTTTAGTGTCAGGCAGGCTAGGAGAAGTTGGCACTGCCATTCTTCCTTACTATGAATTAATGGCATAAGAGCCTTCATTGAGGGCCTTAGTTGAAAAATGGTGTCCAGACACAAGTCACTTGGTTCCCCTCCCCGCTCCACCCCTAGATATGTGACGTAGGGCAAGCCACATTGACTTCCTATTCTAGTCTGTCTACTGGGGAAAATAGAGAGAGCAGTACATATAATTCCCCATCAAGATAGGGCTTTGGTGAAGATTAATTGAGTTGAAGTGTATATTATACTTAGAATACCAGTTCCCCTGGTATCTGGAGAGCTATCAGTGATCAGGTGCC